AAGGAGACTTGTGAAGACGAGGGTGGAAGGCAGCCCTTGGAGAACTGTGGGGATGGAGGGACGTTTGACAAAAACCATTCAGAAACGTGTCGTGGAGGCCCATAGTAGGCGCAACGTTGTTGATATGTGGCAGCACAACGATGGGGGCGGGCGTGGGGCAGTGTGGCAATCAGACTGTCTCACGACGCGCAGTACAGTGTGGCATTGGCTGTGGCAGCCGTGGTGGTTAAAGCTTTTTTTTTTTTTTTTTTTAAACGCCCCCGCCAGTGTTAGTGGTGCTGAATCTGCTGATAAGAGCAGGCACCACTAGCACCTGGGGAGATGCTCCATCTATTGGTGGGGAGCAGCACGTGCTGGAAAACGGGTCCAGCGTCCCATATACAAAATGAGTTTGGAATGTATGAAAACAGGATTGTGTGATGTTCCTGCCAGCATTGATTACCCTGGGATCCACGGGATTGACTGAGCAGGCTGTTAGAGAGAGGGGGAACCTCTTCGCCCTGAACCCGGCGCCCGATCCCTGCTGCTACACACTAGCTCCTCCCTCCCCCTACTAGTGAAAAAATGAGCAGAAAAAATGAAGCCTGTCAGCATTGATTGCCCTGGAGCCCAGGGGATTGACTGCACAGGTTGTGGGGTGACTTTTGCCAATATCATTCCTGGGCCCTGCTCAAACAGGCACAGAGGGGAATCGGTAGGTGGCAGTTTGAATGATGCGGATGGGACTCCTTCCAGGGGGTGACCGGATGAAGGGGCCCCATCTGCCATTCCCGCTACCCAGCTAGCGAAATCCTCTCCTGTCTCGATTGAGCAGGCCCTCTCTATTCTCTCGATTGAGCAGGCCCTCTCTATTCCCTATTCCCTACTCCCTACCGTACCAGCTTAATTCCATCAATGTATGGCTGGGGAGGGGAAAAGGGTCTGGGAAGTCTGGGGGGGGGGGGGGGGGGATATCGTCAGGGATCATGGTCCAATCGTTCAAACAGAGACGATAGTTCTTCTCTCTGGCTTCCAGTCGATGATCGTCGTCCAATTGCCAGCCATCCCATTGTACACTTGCTATCCCCCCCCCCTCGTTCTGCTTAATTAGAGACAATAACGGTTCATCGGAGAATACATCTCAGCCCACGAAAACAGCGACTCTTTATCCAGGGGATCCGAGACACACCCAACTGCGTGGTGACGTGTGAAGCCATCGTCCAGCTGTGCACAGCGTTGTCTGCCACTGTCATCCCATGCCATAGTGGTGAATCAAAAGGACGGGTCGGACGTGTGCAGATCTGACCGTGTACAACAACGCTACGAACGACTGCTTGTGGGAGAAGATACAATGCCGTGCAGGTTGTTCATACAGATCGCAGCATGATGCACTCCATCCTCGGAGCAAAAGGGGACATACTATAGGGAGCCATGGCACCCTGACCAAATCGTGGCGTAAGCTTTGTCCCAGTGGCCTTCCAAGGAGATGTATGAGAGCGCTCTTCATTCAGTATTGGCCATGCAACATGACGGTGGCGTTGTTGAAGGCGTACCCAAAAAGGATTGTGTTGCAAGCGGTTCGAAGGCATTTACAGGAGCTCTAGGCCTTCAGAAGTTCAGAGAGAAAGGTTTTCATAACTGCTATGGTGCGATTGACTGGACGCATACCTACAGTGACAAGCATGTGAATGCTCCAAGCTAACTACACGCAGCAATACTCCGTGGTGGCGCACATGGTGGTGGATCTGAATTTGCATATTGTGGATGTTCAGGGGAGTGTGTACGATGTCAGCGTGTTGCAGGACTTGCACCGTGGAACCGAACTGAGGTGGGCACATTGTTCACAAGACCTATGGAAACTCCCGGGTGAAGTGTAGATGAGCGACTATCAGTTGGGCACATTGTTCACAGGACCTATGGAAACTCCCGGGTGAAGTGTAGATGAGCGACTATCGGTTGGGCACATTGTTCACATGCCTCCATCTCTACCATATCCTCTCTCTCTCTCTCTCTCTCTCTCTCTCTCTCTCTCTCTCTCTCTCTCTCTCTCTCTCTCTCTCTCTCTCTCTCT